GGCGTCCTGATTCCGAATCCGAAGTGATTTTCAACCTATTTTGATTCCTAATATCATTTTCAGGAAATTGGGGTGGTTCCATGGCTGTTGGCGAGCAGTGTATATCACTGAAGATGACCCCACTTGGTTATAGAGTGCATTTTTGGTATATCTCTCGCTCCAGCAAATTTCATGATCCTTACCCAACGATTACGTGAGATACAGGGGTGGCCCGCTTTCAAATGGGTCACTCTGTATGTATAAAAGGATCATTATAAACATGGTTTGAGTTAAAAGTTCTACTAAGGTGTACACGCCCATTCCATAATATATCTACTAATCATTCACAATTTGATTACGTGAAATTGATTATAATAGTTTCATTTTATATTTTATAATATTTGTTTATGAAAAACTATAATTGTGACATTTAATTGAAACAAACAAACCACCCTGTAGGTGGTTCAAGATTCAGAAATCTGATCACCCTGTATCTGGTCCCATTAAATACCAATAGATAGTGAATCAAAACTTAAGATAGGAACATGAAAGCTGTTTTGACCGATAATGAATAGTTTCTTCAATAGTTTCCACACAAAAAAATCCTAAAGTTGAAAATTTTCGATTTTGAACAGAGTTTTGAACACCCTATATCTCAGTACTCATTCTTGCTAGACCCCAAGTGTGATGAATCGATGAAATCAGCTTTTCAGGGAGATTCTAAAAATTCAATACAATACAGGGTGTTCTATTTAAAATAAGGAAGTTAATAATAATTCCGGAATAACTGAAGAAGTGGCAACATCGACGATAACATTTTCAAATCCACCACGTTTTGAAATTACCCTGTACATATATACATTCTTTCAACTGCATTATTCTATCAGAAACCTGGAAAATAAGTGACATTGATCTGCTAGGGCTATCAGGGTACAACGCTGTTTATAATGATACCCCAATAAACCAAAATGATGGTATATTGGTCTACATTGAGAACAGTGTTGATTACCATTACAAAAAAATTAAAATTGGTGAAATTTATGGAATTTTCACCGAAATGGTGATATATAAGCAAAAAATTGCAATCTTATCCATTTATAGATCTCCCGCAACTTGCATAAAAACTTTCAATGAGGGACTAGAGAACTTCCTCACCAACATTAGCATAGAACATTATGATCAATTTTTCATAGTAGGTGATATCAACATCAACATATTAGAAAATGGCGATGAACCAACCGAGGAATATAAAAACATACTCTCTGAAAAAGGTTTTGTATCGCTCATTAATAAGCCAACTAGAGTTACTTCTGCTACAGCTACCTGCATTGATCACATCTTTGCTAAAATTAAATCAGAAAAATATACTCCAGATAATATGCTCTCAACTATTATCAAGACTAATATAAGTGACCATTATTCAGTAACTGTATGTACTAATACAAGTGAAAATGATGAACCAAATGAAAAATTTCAACACAAGACATACGATCGTCTTAATGATAACAAATTTGTTGACTCTATTCGCCAGGAAAATTGGTACGATATTTACAATGCTGAAGATATTGAAATAGCAACGGAATTATTCACACAAAAAATCAAAACATATATGGTTAATGCTACAGAAAAAATTAAGATCTTAAGCAGGCATAAAAAAAAAGAATGGATCACAAATGGTATTATTACATCGATTAAACATAGAGATCGTCTTCGGCAGATTCACTTGAAAAACCCTCGAAACGAGAACCTCAAAGTCAACTTCTCTAACTACCGAAATAAATTGAATCACTTGATTAAAAAAACCAAATACGATTTTTACAAGAAAAAAATAGAAAATAACGCAAATGATTCTAAAAAACTATGGAAAGTGGTTAAAGAGTTCAGTGGATCTAAAAGTAACAGTAGCAATGTAACGAAATTAGCTTTGGAAAACGGTTCGATCATCAGTAACCCCACTGACATAGCAGATCACTTCAACGAATATTTTGCAAATGTTGGCAAAACTTTAGCAAACCAGATCACGTCTCAGGGAGACAAAAAATTCAGAAATTATAGACAGCCACAATCCATGTTCCTCAGGGGAACAACACCATGTGAAGTCAATAAAATTATAACTGAACTAAAAAATAAGAAAGCACCTGGTCCTGATAGAATCACAAATGAAGTACTGAAAATGTCAGCCAAATACATAAGCCGCCCATTGTCTTTTATTATAAATAGAATCTTCTCAACAGGCAATGTTCCAACACACTTCAAAACTGCGATAGTACGACCGATTTTTAAATCCGGTGATAGACTGAAACTGTGCAATTATCGACCAATATCGTTGACATGTTCATTCTCCAAAGTGTTCGAAAAAATATTGAAAATACGCTTAGTCAATTACCTGGATAAGCATAACATGATATCACCAATGCAATTTGGATTTCGCGATAAATTATCTACCCAAGATGCCATTGCTGCCTTGACATCTCAAATTTACCAAGCAATAGACCGGAAGAAACCATGCATAGGTGTTTTTGTTGATCTGGCAAAAGCCTTTGATACAGTAGATCATGGGAATTTGCTGGATAAACTCGAACATCTGGGTATACGTGGTACAGTACTCAAAGTACTGAACAATTTTCTGACAGAAAGAAAACAATGCGTACACATGAATGGAAAAATCAGTACCGAAAAAAGTATTACCCATGGTGTTCCACAAGGTACTGTTTTAGGGCCTGTTCTATTCATTATATATCTAAATCAATTACTTACTCTGCAATCGACCGGGTCAATCATATCATTTGCTGATGATACCGTCATACTATACACGGGAGACTCCTGGAACGAAGTTCGTGAAACAGCGGAAACTGACCTCGAAATAATCTGTGACTGGTTCAATGAAAATATACTCACTATGAATGTAAGCAAAACAAAAATAGTGCCATTTACTTCATACGAATGTTATTTACCAGATTACGAAACCGTCATCATAAACCATAAAAACGTGAAAATGGCATCAACAGTAAAATACTTAGGAATACATATTGATAGTTTCCTGAAATGGGATACCCATATAACTAACACCGTGAAAAAAATACGGGGCCTTGTCTATAGGCTCTACCAGTTCAGGAAATTTCTCTGCTTCCTAAACCTGAAAACTTTATATCATGCCCTAGCAGAGTCAATTCTACAATACGGTATAATTGGTTGGGGTGGTATCAGGACAACGCACTTATTACCTCTTGAAATCCTGCAGAAACGGTTGCTTAAAATAATCCTGCAAAAAAGCCCGACTTACCCTTCTGACCAATTATATATCGATTCTAAGCTACTCGATATCAGGCAACTCTACTGTAAATCTGTTCTACAGTTTGTCTTCGAACGAAAAAAATACATTGAACCCGTGAATCATATGTATAACACAAGGAACAGAAACGCAGTAAATGTATTCCTGCCTCGAGCCCACAAATCTATTGGCCAAAAATGCTTCACATTCATTGCACCTAGACTGTGGAATATAATGCCTGAGACAATGAAATGCCACATGTCCAAACACGAATTCAGAGGAAAATTGAAAAAGTTCATCCAAACCTGTCACAGGAAAGTATTCCATGATATTATCGAAATTTAACTAAATTCATCTATCAACTGCTCTTAATTAATAGAAATATAAATCACTAATAGAACTTGAACATACTATTACGTGTGGTGTGAACCTTGTATGGAAAAAAGTACTCACTATATATATATATATACATATGAATATATCTTCATGTATAGGTATTATGTTAAGTCAATATTTACATGTACTATCATTATTATACGAACTATTAACCTCTCGATCAAAACTCACCTGCCTCAATATGTAACATATCGAACTATCAAATGAAATAATTGATGAGATATTCATAGACAAGTTCTTAAATGAACTTATTTGGATCACTCCCTTTATTTACCCTTAATGTAGCATAGTTTACGAGAATGTGTGATGTGATGTAATGTATTATTCTACATGGTAAATAAATTTATTATTATTATTATTATTATTATATATTCAAAAAAATCTAACAAACGATTACCGAGATATTCACCTGGTTTCATAGGTTTGCCCAACCCTGTATACTCATGATGTACTTCAATGGCACATTTTTATATGGAAAATTCAGAGCAAAAATATTTTTTATGAAGAGTTTTTTATATTTAGTGAACAACGGTGAACAAGCATACCAGAAGACGACCATTTTATCAATAATCAATGCAAATACTAGGTCTCAAAGATTGCTTTTGATTGATGTTACACACACCATTATTTCAAATGATATTCTTCCCTCTTTTCACTAAATATGGATAAATCGCAAGAAAATCATATTTCTAGTCAACTCATATAGAAAAAATGAGTCATTGAAGTATATTGTGATACACAAATTGTCCAATGATGGAAAGAGAAGGGCAAATTGTTCTAAATGCAATCCAAAATACAGGTGGAAAAGGTGAAATTTGTAACATTATAGTGAAGTATCTTAATAAATAATGGTTTGCTCACATTTTCATTATCAAATTCGTGTTTTTCAGACAAAAATACGTGAGTACCAAAAAAAAATTTCTAAAAAAACCATCTCATGATGAGTGCAATTTTACCAAATGGACTTTTGTCAAATTTCACTCATTTTTGAACAGTGCACAAAAATTTTTTTAATGTAAACTTTCAACTCCTCTCACACACAAACGGTAAATTTTGTTATATAAATAAATTGGGTCCAACCATCTTAATTTGACTTGTATTAGACATGGTTAGCAATTTTGGGACATCCTGTATTTATGTAGAAATTAGTAGGAAGGGGTACATTATAATAGTAGTCATGATATGATAGGAATATTCCACAAATCTGTGTCTGTTATGTATTATTTGTTTAAAATGTTTGAAGAGGACTATGATGAATGAATTGAAAAGTATTTGAAGAACCTCAACCAATACCTATTTTAAGATATTGGCCTTGGTATGATAAATATTACACTAGAAAACATAATCATCTTACCCAGCTGATCCACCAAAGACGAATTTCAGTCCATTTGGAATAGTTTTGGTGTCCCCAGGAGCCATTTTCAATAATGATTTCAATAAACTTTTATATTTACAGGAACTGACGGTGATTGTACTGATTATTTTTGTTTCTGTATTGACTTGGCCTCAAAGGTGAAGAAGGTCATATCACACTAGAATCGTTTCTAATCATTCGAGTAAGGTCGAATGCCGAGACACATAAATAATTTATGAATTTATTGCTCATAATAAACTACGAAATACGAAACATGACATGAAATTTCGAATTTTCAAAAAACAAAAATAATTTGAAGATAGAAATTTCACTAATTTGACAACACTGACAGGAGTGACAGGTGACAGGTGACAGGTGAAGCGGTGACAGTAATAGCAAAAGTATTTTCCATTGCCTTCGAGAACTCAAGAAGAGTTCACAAGGCATCTTACTCATCTTAGGTTCACACTTCGTACTTAAAAACGATTCAAAAACATTTCAAACACCAATACCAAGTCATAGAATTCAGAAGTTGATTTCAATGGAGTTGAAGTTGGAAGTTCCTCACAATCACAGTGAAATGAGCTCAACAACTTGTAACGATTTTACCAGTGGAAAAATCATTAAAAGTAATTTTTGTTCTATGAAAGGTGTTCTATGTCTTGGTTCGCAAAGTTTTGACAGATACCTTCTGTTCTGCTAATTTGTTGTTCCGTGTCATTATTTTCAAATAGGTTAATTTGAAGGAAATATATTTTAAATTTGTTTAAATATTATAAGTCAATTGTTAACTGTGTATTTTCATAAGTTTTCAATATCAATTACATTCCCAATTATATTCAAGATTTTAGTAGCAAATGTGAATCGATTTATCCATCTGGAGTGGTTAACCTAGTTAAATATTTGTAGACAATGGCAAGTAATGTCCCAGACTGTAGTTACTGCTGTGAAATATGTGGACTGGAAGGGCTATCTGAGGATGAATTCAGAGTTCATACCCATACAGCCCATGTCGATGGCAATGGGGTCTGTCCTTTCTGTGATCTTTCTGCTGTTTCCCCTGCAGAACTAATATTACATGTGAATCAGGCTCACTTAGATTTTTTGACCCCTGAATCTGAACAAAATATTGGCTTTATCGATGACCCCAGTCCAAGGTAAGAAACAGCAAGCAATCAAGTATAAGAATCATTATATTAAGTGAATTTATTCATTAAGTATTTAATAAAATGACTGCTTAACTTTTGAACACATATTTAATAAGTGACTGAAAAGAAAAAAAATAGTGTGTCTTCAGAGGGTGTTTATCATTCCAAAATGAAACATGTTTACAGCAAATATATTATTTTAATGCATGAAAAATGAAGAAACAACTTGTGAAGTATCAGAATTCTTTGTGTTTCAATTGAGGTTTCAATGATATAGGTCATTGTATTTAAATTTATACATTCAAATCACTGCAATAATTCAAATGAAATATGTATTGCAAAAATGAATAAATGGTGAATTATTGTGTGTACAAACAAGTGTACAATTGGTGAGTACTTGATAATACTAAATCAATTTGTTGTATTAATCCAAATGTCTTCCCAAATAATCAATATTGCTCCAATTTGTGTAATTTTATCTACGTATATTGAGTTTGGTTAATTGAATTTGGAATGTGTTCAAATGAATTCTGATGCTTCTTATTCCATCATGGTAAATAAAGTGTTAACCAAAAAAAAGGTACACACATACTAAATATGTGTATGCAAGGAGATATATCTGAGGAACTTTTAAAATACAACATTCTCGAAATTTTGCTGTTCAAAGTGAGTTTTGTGTCTCAATTATCCAAGATATTTTGATAAATGCAACGTTGCCGGTTGTACTTCAAGCTGGTAAAGGCAACAATACCACTTTCTTCGCAAATGGAATACCCTGAATTGTTTCTAGAATTCCTGTTTGAATTATTTTCTAAAAATAAAAACACTTATATGCAGTGGGTACCAAACAAACATTTATTTGCAGTAAAATGAAGGCACAATACATTGCTCCTATAACTATGTAGATGTTATGTTAAAATAAATAGCCTTGGTAAGGGGCCATCAAGAATAGGACAGTGCCTGACAGTGTTGCCAACTCAGATTTCCAAATGTCGTGAATTGGCCACCTAAAAAACACCAAAAAAATACCAAACCGGGTAGAATTGAAAAAAAAATGCGCCGCAGGCGAAAAACTTCAAGAAGCTAGTGATTTTCTAGTGGTTTTACCTTTAGTTCAGATCACTCTAGATAACACCAGATAAAAAAATCAGATCAGGTGAAAAGTTTTTAATTAACCGAAAACAAAAGGAACAAAATAAATTATTCAAAACATCAATGACATATATTTAAGTACCTATATTATGTAACATATGAAACAATAAATAAAGAACAACATCTGAAATCGTACAAAATCCGAGACAAAATCTGCCAAAATTGGACATAACCGAAAGAAACTGATTTCAGTTGAAACTATTTTTTTTTATAAAATTTTTTCTCCAGTATTACATTGTCAAGATTAAAATACAATATAAAACGAGGAGCATTTCGGATACGTCCTCAACCACCAGATCTCATCATTTAATTGAAAAAGTTCACCAAAATAAACACTATCAAATAGATGCCATATTTTGTCACCAGTTCTAGTGTGAAATCCACTGAGTTGGCAACACTGTTGCCCGACGGTCAATCAGTCGGCATTCATTTCATTGGTGCGTTTTTTTGGTTTCCAACTGGTGGCAGTAGAATTGACGACCAATAAAACGATGTTATGTATTTTGACAGTTGTGACATGCAGCAGATCTTTTTTAGGTGATATAATAATGATATTATTCCGGGATCTTGCTGTTTATCCGTACATAATTATAATTTTAATTTATAATGGTCCAATAATGGATGTTGTTTCCGCTAGGGTCCCTTGATGGAAATTGACGTTAAAGTCATCTTAACAGGGTACGGACAGATCGTCGTCTTCTCTCACTCTAAAGTGTTTGTGAAACAGTTATATAGTTCCATCCTTATTCAATTCTGGGGATAAACACTAGATTTTTGACATTTGTTGTTTGTTAGGTTATATTGAGGTCACTGGCGTATCATACGTAAGTTCCATGGAATTCCTGATTCAACTATACCAAAATATAGATGAACAATCCTCTAGTTTCAGAGTTTACTACTCTAGCATAATCTTTGCGAGGTAGGGAACATATGAATTATACTGAAAGCTTAATATATTCCACCAAAAGAGACTGTTCTTACACCGTATACCAGGGTTGACTGAATCGACTGAATGAATTCTGATTTCCAGCTGAGCAGTAGTTTCTCTATGAGCTGAATGAGCTGAGCCTTATGATTGAGAAATGGTGAAAACCTCGACTCATGTAATGTGTGCTAAATAAATTCTCGAAAATCCAACTCGAAGAAGAATTTATGGCGTGACTAATATCACACTATGTATAAAACTTCGTCTAGGACGGAAAGTCAGCCTATAGGCTGATAAAAAGTAATACGTAAAATGTGCATTAAAATAAAGAATAGAATATACTTTACCTCCATGTTATACATATATTATTCTTCCGTCTCCCTTAAATAAAGTCATTTTCAAATAATTTATTGATGAAAATAACAAACAAGTAGGTGTACGCAGTATAACTTATGGGCACGTTATTTTCACTCTTGCATCGTTTATATTTTCTATTTGTGGTAGAGTAATAATTATATAAACTAATGTCTTTCGCCATATTGGTTCCGTCATCTTGAATTTTCCAAGTTTGACGAAACAATCATTATCTACAACCCCGGAAAACCCCAGATATCTTTCAATTTTGATTAGAATCGGATCATAATTACAAAACTCGTCAGCCATATTGAATCCACCATCTTTAATTTCCTAATTTTGATGAAGGATTCATGAACTTCGATACCGAAAAACCCCCAGATACCAATCTTTAATAGAATCAGACCATAATTACAAAACTCGTTCTCCATACGATCTTCCTCAAAAAGTAAATACCCTGTACATACCTATTATTAAAATTTTGAATGATTTTCTGTAGCGCCCATGGATGTGACGTGACATCAATGTCAGGGATGCCAGTAGACAAAACCAAAATCTCTAGATCATTAAAAAAGAATGCAGCTATGATCTGTCCGTACCCTGTTAAGATGACTTTAACGTCAATTTTCATCAAGGGACCCTAGTTTCCGCTTTCTTGTTATCCTCCTTAGTAGTTGCATTGATTAGAAGGCAAAATACATTGATATTTATCGATGCAATTGATTCCTTAATACTAGAAAGGGTTTTATACTTGTATTAGTCTTCTGATGTTATCTACAGGAATACTCGACTTCAGATTTTCTAGCATTATTATACCAAAAATTCAAAATTATTATGAAGAAGTAATATACCTACCGCAAATGGATTTATCAACATTCAAAAGTCATTTCAGGAGTCCATAGGTGTTTGATAGTATTCTGGTAGAATTGCGAACAGTACCAAAATATTTCCTGAGGCGAGTTCACTTTTAGGCAATCTTTAGTTCAGATTTCGAGGTTAGAGTATCTGAAAGCTGTCAGAGAGGCATGTTTACTTTGTTTTCATTGGTTCACATTTCTTTTTTTTTGTGCTTATTTATTGGTCATGTCATCAAAACAAACCGCTCAGAAGTGTTCAAATTGCTGCCGTTAGATGGGGCAACGTGTTATGTTCTATCGCGAATTCTGGCATAGGAACGATCAAAATATGAAAACAATAATAATAGATGATAATATTGTGATAAGATCTTCATTTTGAAGGTTAACCTCATACAGTGTCCTGACTAGGTATGGCTGATGATGCATGTTGTACCCCCCCCCCTGTATCTCAACTATCTTTTAACCTATAGGAAAAGTAGAAACTGTCATTTATACAGTTTTTCACGTGGAATCCATTGGCGTAGTCAGATGTTCAAAATAAGCTGTTATTATTCAGATATCACCAAAAGTATTTTTTTTTAATGAAACACCCTGTTTATTTTTCCATATTTGAAACATTGGTGCTATGTTTGTAAATGTGGCAATATTTTTAATATTTCGATATCATGAATTTCCATGATACACTCAGTTCCAAAAAAAGTGACGCACTTGATATTTGACCTATCTTATTAAAAAAAATAGCAGGCCCATTTTTTTTAATTTGTTGGTAGGTGAAAATTTTTTCAAAGCCTCCTTGATGGTGGTGAAATAACTCGAATCATGATTTATTCTTAATTTTTTACTCATCCTGTGTGTTAATTGAGTAATGGTATACAAAGTGCTTACACCCTATACGAAGAGTAAGAATAAATCATAGTTCGAGTTATTCCACCACCATCAAGGAGGCTTTGAAAAAAAAATCGCCTCTTTATTTTTTTTAAGACAAATGCATTACCTACCAACACATAAAAAAAATAAAAATCGGCCTACTATTTTTTTTTTTTCAAGAAGATAGGTCAAATATCAAGTGCGTCACTTTTTTTGGAACTGAGTGTATTTACCCTATTGCTGACAGAGTGTTTCGTCACACACTAGTTTAAATTTTACCAACATTCAAATATTCTGCACTACTTATTGACTATAAAATCTGTGGACCTAATTAGTTGGTGGAAATGAAAAAAAGCGAGTGGAGAATGTTTTATATTTGTAGTCACCTGACTGCCTGTCGGTATTTACAAATTTTCCATACAATGGCGAATAAAAATCCAGGATATCAAAACTACGAACGATTATACAGGGTGTTTCTTAAGTACGTGTAGAAAATTCAGGAGCATGTTGCTGACGTCAAAATAAGAAGAAAAGTTCGTATAAATATATGTAAGAAAGTTCTTCGTTTCTGAGATACAGAGTGTCAAAGTTGAATTCTTATTTTTGTTTCTGAGAAATAAAGTGAAAAATCAGAATTATTCAGGGTGTTTCAGTTTTTTGTAGCAGGACTTCAACAGCTTGAAGAAGACATTTTTTCAAGCTGAAAATCTCATATAAACATATAAGCGTGGGAGCTTCGTTTCCGATTCACAGGGTGTCAAAGTTTCAGATTTTTTTATGTTTTTTGAATTTTCCCATACAATTCTCGGAATAATTGATTGAAATTTGGTACACCTAATACACTTCAAAAATTCAATATTTTAGGCTATTGAGCATTTTTGAAAACCTAAAGGGTGATAGACTTTCAGGGGTCGTACCCATTAACCCTGTAAAACTTTTTTGCGTGCCGTCTCTTCTCTCAATGGGACATAGATTCAGATTGTCCTTTCAATTTGGAAACTTTCTGCCCCCATGTAAATTTTTCGAAAACTGTAAGGATCTCGAGAAAAATGCCAAAAATAAATTACTTGTAATAAAACCGTTATTTCTCAAACACACTTATTTGACATTTCTTGAACATTTTATTGAAAAATAGAATGACCGAAAGCTTCCATACCAAATGAAATTCAGTTGCAAAATTAAATTGATTTTTTTGAACACCATCATAATTAAAACTAGAAAAATCAAAACATAAGAAAAATCTGAAACTTTGACACCCTGTAAATCGGAAACGAAGCTCCCACGGATATAAGTTCGTATGAGATTTTCATCTTGAAAAAATGTCTTCTTCGAGCTGTTAAAGTCCTGCTACAAAAAACTGAAACACTGTATAAATTCAAGGCTTTCACTCAAAATATCGTGTAAGTATTATGTATTTTCAGAAAGCAAAAAGCATCAATAATTCAAATATAAAAAAATATACAGGGTGTTCCATTTAAAAAACACGAGACATAACTATGGAATATTCCTAGATATAATAACAGCTTATTTCAAAAATATGACTACGCTACTGGATTCCGCATGGAAAACTGTGTAAGTGACAGTTTTTCCTTCTCCTATAAGTTGAAAGATAGCTGAGATATGGAAGGGGTCCCAGAATGCAATATTTTCAATTTTGCCCTGTATCTCAACAACGAAGCGGGCTATGAAAATTTTGTTTGTTGTATCGTGAGTTTCACAAAAAAGTAGCCGATAACCGCGAATCTCTATCTTCAAAAATAAGTGAGATATCCCGTATCAGGGCATCAAAAATGGGACAGCCTGTACAGTTCCTCATGACTCACCCTGTACAGTTGCTCATGACTCACCCTGTATTGCACTGAATATTATTTATAGTGATTACAATGGTATCAATGGTATCGATGGTATCAATGGTATCAATGGTGAAAACGATTACTGGAACTTCCCATCGTATTCGTCCAATTACAAAAATAACAGGGAGGAAGTCAAAACTAACATCAACATAAATTTGGGAGCGAAGGTGAGCTTTCCTGTGTAAAAACAAGAGTGCCTAGACATCTGACATTTCAATGCTGTTTAGAGACACTTGGTATGTCTTAAAACTGAAACATACAAAAAAATATAATACCCGAATTATTTTCATTAGAGATCATGAATTGCAAAATATAATTTCAATCTTCAGGGCATACGTACAGGGTGATTCGGTTGTTAGACGGTACCTGACTTTAATTCAAGCACAGTTTGGTATTTAGGACTGGACCAGGGTTGTGACGATTTGAATCAAATGATTTGAATCATGATTCAAATGACAATTAAATCAATCGATCAAAAAATTATAAATTCCTGTAAAAACAAGGAGCCGGAGCAGAACTAAGTATTCACATACATTATGTGAGTGTAAAAAGGAATTTCCTTGTTCATACAGGAAAGACGCGGCACGCTGCCAAAATATATCATTTCAACACAATTTATTTTGACTTGTGAATCTAGACAAAATTTGAAGTTGTAAACCGATTTTAATAATTGTTCTTTGAAATGTCAAGTACTAAAAGGTCTACCTTGGGACAAAATTTGAAATGTTTATTCCGATTTTCAGGGCATTTTTCATGGAATTTTGGTCATATCTGTTTGGAGGCACTCTGAATCCAGTGGCGTAGTGATGTTTTCAATAAAAAAATCGCTAATAAAAAATCCCGATTTTCGACTAAGAGAATATATCGTAGTATGCCCTGAAAATTGGAATAAACATTTCAAATGTTGTCTCAAGGTAGACCTTTTAGTACTTGAAATTTCAAAATAAATATATATTAAAATCTGTTTACAACTTCAAATTTTAGGGGAGTGTTTCTATTAAAAATGGGTCACCCTGTATATTTTTGGGTGAAGTTGATTATTTCCATATTCAAGGAAAAATGTGTAAAAATAAAAAAAATCTGTATAAATAAGAGAAATCACGATTTAATGAAAAAAATCACATTTTTTATTAGAAAAAAATCGTAATTTATTGCAACTCTGAAATAAACCTCAATCCATTGTCAGAAAAGCGTTGAAAACGTCAGATTTTCTAGGCACTCTACGTTCAAGTGGCATACCAGCAGTTGTTGAATGGTGGTTTCCTTTTTAGGTGAACGGTGGGGGAGAGTTGCGCCCGAAAAATTCAGCACATGGACAAGGCTCGCCCTTGAGGTTGAATCTGGACCTCAAGCTCAAAAGCAACGCTGCCAGATTGCAGTGTCCCATGTGCAATTACACCAGTTTGAGTCCGAACGAGTTGGAGGAACACGTCAACAGGTGACAGATAGATAGATGACACTTTTTAAAAAAAATTCGCAACTCACTTCTGGTCTGGCAACTAAGTTGAAAATATACAAGGTGTATCTAAATAACACCTAAAAAATTCAAGGGGTGTTTCCTTGTGACATTCTAGCAAATAATGTTCATATAAACATGTATCCTAACTTGTTCTGTTTTTGAAATACACTATATTTCTCCAATGGTGTCATGCGATAGTACATCTTGATCCTTCTGTTTGCGTTGGAAAATATATTTTCATTGACGGTAGAAATGAAATGGAATACAAAAGGGAATTCACCAACCGAAACCAAACATTCAAAACGCAATACATAATCCCCTGTTGGCGATGAAACTGATACTAGACAGCAATAGAAATATTGCCGCACGTATCAATAATTTGTTATATCACCGTAAATAGTAGATTATTATTTTGAGAAATACATTTTGAAGTGTCAATTGAAATTTCAGCAGTAGATCTAGCGCAAAAACGGTGGACCTGCAACACTGTAACTGGCCATGTTGCCAAATGTCACAATTTCTATTCAAAAAATGTATTCTCCGCAACTGTATGAAAGAAAATTAATCAAAAATGAAAAGTTGTCTTCTGTCATTTTTTGTAGGAGCCACTTCGATTTAACATCGCCCTCTGTGAGCAACGGCACAGTGGAAATGTACGTGTGCCCTTTGTGCGTGAAAAATTTCAAATCGCCCGCCGATTTGGAACTCCACGTCAACATCGAGCACAGAGACATCCTTTCGCCTGCCAGTCCACCGAGCCAATCGTGTCCCGTTTGCGGGATCTCCTTGGACGGGGATGCTAATGTAAGTATACAGGGTAGGGTGTACGCGATAAGAAGGTCGATACCTTGATTAAGCGATACGATTTGATAATCATGCAAATTTTCATAAAAATATCCCCCTAGGGAATTAAATATATGCAGACATTTTTTGAGTACATGAATTTTTTGAAAATTATCATCAAGTCGCGAAGTAACGAGGAAATGTATATTATCAGATACATTATTATACAGGGTGATTCATTGGGAAGTAAAGATATATGGAGGACACCAAGGTACTTCTGAATGATCTATGTTTCATGGGTCTACATCCTTTATAACTGAGATACAGGGTGATATATTAATTACTCCCATTTTTTAAATTATTTATAACTTATGAACCACCTTGTTCTTTTTTTATATTTGGTTGGTATGTTCTTTGTCCACAGTGGTGACGATTGACATAATGAAATGAGTCTTATACCAGGGCCGGCCTTGAAACAATCAATAAGTAGGTTTTGAGTCGAAACAAAACCGTGTATATGAATATTTTAGAATCTCATTTACAAATTTGGAAAGAGCAGGAAAAAATAACTAAGACTGAATGTATCTAGTGTTTCCGCATACAACTTTTTTGACTATTGACTCGAGTCGAATATAGAGGTTTCAATAATGAGGGGGCACAAACTTTGAAAAAAAAAATATTTGTGGTCCCAAATGGTACTTTACCATTTATAATATATAAAATCATGAATTATTTTTCTGTCTCCTGGTTTTTGGATCCCAAAATCCTGAAAACGAGAGGACATGTCCGTATTTGGGGCAAATTATTATTATAAATGACTAACTTTTATGTGTAAGAAAATCAACATAAAATCATCATAACATTTGTAGACTAAAATCACTCATTCATATGCCAACATCAGTATGACACTGAGAAGTGTCAAACTATAAGCAGAGCACAACTTCCAACAGACAGTAATTGAGGTAAAACATCATTAATGATAATATTATGCATATTCAAAAACTTCCATGTAATGTGAACATTTTGTATTATCTGAAATGTTTATGTAAAAGCTGTACAAATTAATCGACAACCATGATATCTTAATAATTACGGATACCCAAGGAACAAAACAAATGAGGGTTGACAGTAAACATTAAGACAGTTTGGTGTCACCAACTTCTTTTCTGATGATGTTTTACCTTGTTAACAATATGATTTGCGAAATTTTAAAATTAAGCTGAATATCGTTGCAACAATCATAAAGTTTGTGATTCCCTAAAAAAATGAAATCCAAGTTAATCGCACAAATATGCTTGAATTTTTTTTTTTTTCAAAGAATTTATTTCTGACCTCAAATCAGATAACAAAGATCTGGCAACAAGGCCTAAATACAACAGAATAATAGATAACAATGTTTATAAAACTAAAATCCTTAACAATTCAAATTCAATATGTGCCTACTCATCTACACTGTTTCTACTTCTATAATACTTCATGAGGTTATGATATACTACCTTCTCACTTCCTTCAAATACAGTTTTTGGAATAAGATTATAAATTTTTATGCTTTGGTAAATAGGAGAATTTTGACCTTTTTTTGTTCGTAATAGTTTGTTTCTGTACATATCAGTTGATCTCAAGTTATAGCTGTGATAGTCTTTAGTTTGCTTCAGTTCTACACTTGTTTTCATAAGTTTATTCTTGATTTTATATATAAGTTTAGCCTGCTCAAGATTTTTTAGTTGTTTAACTTTCAGGAATGGATAGTCTTTATACAATGTGTCACTTGGTGTAAGATAGTTTCTAGAGAATATAGTTTTTATCGATTTGTTTTGCAGTCTTTGTAGTTTATTCATTATATCCACACTGACATTTCCATAACATGGGACCAAATATCTCAAATGAGGTTCAATAAAGCTATTGTATATTTGAACAACTATGCTCCACTGATTTTGTTATGATTAACTTATCAAAGTGTTCATGGTGAATATAAGGAAAATTACAAATTGGGAAGTTATCAACGAAAACAATTGAAAATCCAATATATGTCTTGAGTCTTGAGAGGCCATGGTTTGCTATTTAGGCATAACTTTCAATTGTTAACAACTTTTCTTCATAATATTTTGCTCTATTTTCTGAAATAAGGGTACTTTACTCTTGGGCAATATTTATATTTTTTTACCTACCCTGTATGCTGTTTGACTTGCAAACATTCTATCTGTATTTTGTTTGTGCAATTCATTAAAAAGATTCCCATATGTGGCACACTTAAATGACCACACTGTATATACTGTGGTGTTCACCCTGTATTGTGTTCGCGATCGTGAGGTGCGACTGCGCAGGCAGTTGTTACCGGGGTCTGGTGTACGTGACCGGGAGAGTCAGTCGGCCATTGAGCGGAATTCAGGCCAGACGCTTTTTGAACGAGAGTTCGTTCCCGAACTATCCTTTAGATTTAGTCATCGTATTATCTTGTCGCGGAATAAGAATTCGTGGTCAAGCGAATCATATGTGCTTCAATCAAAGTTTTTAATAAATTTCGAAGTTGAAATCAGTGTTTTATCTCCCATTCGATTGGTGAAGAATCTCGCCGAACCCTGAGATCAAGAGCCATTGCAATACATACAAACATATACAGTCTGTCCAAGATAAGGTTGAACAGCATGGGGATCTCGAAAACGGTAGGAGATACGAAGTCGGTTAAATGGGGAAAAAGTTGCGCATTCGGAGGCTCATATCAAGAACCTTCGAAAATTTTTAAAATTATTTTTAGTTTTTTAGTTATATCGAAAAAAGTGAATTTTTGGAATATCTATTTTTTTTTCTCCGTTATTATTAGAGATACAGAAAAACTGAAGATGCTTTTCCATAGCAACGTTTGATGACGTTCAACGTGGTGATACCAATTTTTCTATGCGACGTTTCGTATTCGTAGAACCATCATCAAATTTTGTTTTTCAAATACGGTCCTGATCATTTTTTCACAGATTCTGAAAGGTTTTTTTATTCTGAATTCAACCATTTATTATACAAGGTGGTTTATGTGTGTTTCGACCTATTTTTATTCATCATCAATGTTTTTTCGAAATTCCAAAGGAAAAATGCCATCAGTTCCACTTATTTTGAAGGAAAATTAGTCAACACACTAATACCTCATCAACTGGTTACAATCAACAACCCATTTCATTATGCGGAAACAAAAATTCCATCCATACAAATTCAAAATAAATGTCAAGCGCTAAAACCAGGCGATGACGAATAGGCGCAGGACATTCTGCGAGTGGTATACCGGGAAATGTCAAAGTTTTGCAGATATCCCGCGAACAATCATCTGGACTGATGAAAGCATGGTCACTAATCATGGTATCCTCGATAGAAATATACACATTATTGTTCACGAGAAAATGAACATTTATACATTACAGCGAGACACCAACACCGTTTCGTATGTGGGTTGCAATATTTGGTACACGAATAATTATTGGTCCTTTTATTCACCATGAAACACAGACTTCCTAATCGTTATAGAAATTTGCTTGAGAATCATCTTGAGGAAGCTCTGGATGATTTACCGATTGCGGAAGTTCAGAACTGTTGGTTTCAACAAGATGGTGCTCCGGTACATAATTCCAGAGAAGTTCGTGCGTTTTTATCCAGAAAAATGGATTGGTACTCATTCTGCAGTCCCTTGGCCGGCGCGGTCACCTGATTTGAGACAGCTGGATTTCATTTAGGGGATATATCAAAAACTTTGTACACGCAAATAGCTTTGATGATGAGGAAGAACTAAGGGACAGTGTCATCGAAGCATTCAATAGAGTTACCCCAGAAATGCTTAGTAATGTCTTATAAGCAACTGTGAGAAGAGGATATCTTTGTTTAGAAAATAATGATTATCATTTTGAACATTTGTTATGAATGTTTCTGAAGGTCTTGTCAAAGTTAAGTTGTTAAAGTAATTCGTGTAAGAATTCATCAACAATTTTAAGCGCTGCATTGAATGATGTAGTGAAATATTTTTTATTCACTTTTCAGTATTGAATAACTGATCTATCAATGTTTGACACTAAATGATCAGAAATAAATGGAACGGATGGCACTTTTCCTTTGGGAGTTCGAAAAAACATTGATGATGGATAGAAATAGGTCAAAACACATTCGAATCACCTTGTGTAATACATGGTTGAATTTAGAATAAAAAAACCTTTCAGAATCTGTGAAAAAATTATCAGGGCTGTATTTAAAAAACAAAAGTTGATGATGGTTCCACGAATACGAAACGTCGCATAAAAAAATCGGTATCACCACGTTAAACCTCATCAAAAGTTGCAATGAAAAAGTATTTTCAGTTTTTCTGTATCTCTGATAATAACGGAGAAAAAAAATAAAATAGAAATTCCAAAAATTCACTTTTTTCGATATAACTCAAAAACTAAAAATAATTTTCAAAATTTTCGAAGGCTCTTGATATGAGCCTCCGAATGCGCAACTTTTTCCCCATTTAAGCGACTTCGTATCTCCTACCGTTTTCGAGATCCCCATGCTGTTCAACCTTATCTTGGACAGACTGTATATCTACAATAGGAACTCTATCTTCAACAAATAAAATAATGAATAATGAATTTGGAGAGTGATAAAAAGAGAAAAGAAGGAAAAGTGGAGAGCTTGTAGATCGATCGATCATTATTCTCTCTTTCCTGTCTGCCCAGAGCGAGCGTGCCGCCCGTCACGTGGAATCCCACTTTCCGGCTGGCAGCCCGCAACCGGCGACCGCCCATCCGCCTTCGGCGCAACAGCGCGAACGCGAGCGCCTCGAGTTCGAGCGGCTGCGCGCGCAGTACGGCATGGACGATCAGGGCAACTTCCGCGACCAATCGGTGGCGAATATGCAGCGGGCTGTGTACGTGGGCGGAATCAATTCTAGCACCAACACTATTTCTACTCCTCGCCAAGCTTCCATCTTATGGCTTGCCTCCCCAGATATGTTATCTGCTAGCTAGTTTTCTCTCGAACAGGTCTCTCCATGCATTGGTCGACGGAGTTTCACTCCATATCAACGATTTGTTGGAAGCAACTTCATGTTCGCGGATGATAGTACCCTCCATACCGCCTTCTCTTCGAGGCTCCAATACCAGCCAGGCAAATCAGAAACGAACGAGGAAGAAATGTTGACAACATAAATATGGTCTTGGCGACAATTCTCGAATGGGGATCCAATAACTTGCTAGATTTCAATGCAAACGAAACACAAGTATGCTTTTTCTCTAGAAGAGCCGATCTAACTGTGCCCAACATAAGCTTGTCAGGAGTGACCATACCTTTGAAGACATCCATTTCGATGCTTTGGATTACTATCAGCAATAATTTTTCTTGGGGAAATTACGTGAGATCAATTGCTAAAAGTGCATCCCAAAAACTTGGTTTTCTGTTTCGGACCAGGACCTATTTTACTCCCAGTCAGCTGCTTATGATCTATAAGGCACAGATCTGACCTGTCTTGGAGTACTGTTCCCATATTTGGAGTGCTGCACCCAAACATACCCTGAAACTGTTGGATTCTCTCCAAAAAAGGGCAATTCGTCTCGTGGGTGATGTCTCGCTCACAAACTCACTCACTTCTCTGGAACACCGTAGAAAATTTGGCGATCTGGCTCTATTTTATAGATATCTTCATGGACGATGCTCTTCTGAAATATCAACAATTGTTCCTCCCTTGGCAGTCCCGCGAGATTAACCCGTCAAGTTGAGGATTCGCACCCGAAATTGAAGGAGAACACCAATTCCTACCTAATTTCCCTTGGTTCTCACGATGTTCTCTTACCATTACAGGATATCCCTTTTCGTGGGAACGATAACATAAAAAAAAATTGTACTTCATTTAGTTGTGTAACATTTTCTGTGATTTGTTTTTTACATGATTCTGTAATCCTGACGTACTATAAACCATAATATATATGAGTTTCATAGTCAAATTAAGCAAATCTATCTATCTATCTATTAGCAGGGATAGTGATGCAGGATCAAATCTTGATATTTTGATGTTTTGATTTATTCGTTATTCAGAGATTGTCCATCCTCAATTAATGTCACGACCCATGGCTACAGGGTGGTGACTCGGGGGTGAACTCGCTTGGGAGGCCGAGAAATGAAAACAGTAATTCGTTAAACAGTCACAATTTATTGAAAAAAAAATAGTTTCATTAGTGGTTCAGACCAACGAGGATCAAAACAAACGTACATCCGACTTCGCATTACAGATAATCATTACGTAACTTGGCACCATTAAGATAGGTACGTAAGTACTTACAAAATTATCTCTAGAAGACGCAGGGGATGAACCATAGTGAGTGCTGGCTGATCAGATCCAAACTGTCCCCCTGCCTTATCGACTGTTCGATATTTATTTAGAATATTTTGACATTGTCAGCGTTTTACTCCATATGCGAGTATTTCATTCCGGTTGATTGAGCTGTCAACGTGAGTGAAACATTATACGTGTTTCCTTTAAGCGAATGATATACGATGAAAAAATGAATAATGAACTTTATTAATGAAATCTTTCCTTGAATCAATATAATTTCGAATATAGTAGCTTTTTGGTTCCTATCGTGACAATTGACACCATCGATTATTCTCTCCTGTCTGCCCAGAGCGAGCGTGCCGCCCGTCACGTGGAATCCCACTTTCCGGCTGGCAGCCCGCAACCGGCGACCGCCCATCCGCCTTCGGCGCAACAGCGCGAACGCGAGCGCCTCGAGTTCGAGCGGCTGCGCGCGCAGTACGGCATGGACGATCAGGGCAACTTCCGCGATCAATCGGTGGCGAATATGCAGCGGGCGGTGAACGCGGGCGAGATGTCAGTGGCGGACTATTATGAGAGGACGCTGGATTTGAGGGCGGCAGAGAGTTGCGGGGTGGATGACGGCAGCTCGGTCACCAGAAGTATAGTGAGTACTTTTTTACCAGAAATGTTTTTGTTACCTACGGTTTTTGTCTGGAGAAAACACGAATTTTATACTGAAAATGTAAATGAAGCAATATTTTCCGAGGTAAGTCACGAAAAAATCGAAATTCTATCTTCTTTTATGAGAAAATTAATCAGAAATATGATTTTTTTTGTTGAGTTATTCATATTTATTGAATAATCATACCAGTGGACGAGCATTCAATTTTTAAATAATCAAAGATACAGTGTGTCCACCTTAAGGACTTACCACCCCTGTAAAATCGTTATTATCCGACCAATTTCAAAAAACCTTTTTTTTTCCCTGTACCCTTCAGTTGTGCTATATGAATCTTCTGAATAAATTAGTCATTTTATTAACCAATATCTTTTATAATTGAATAGCCGTCAGCTGGTGTGATAATTCACTAAATAAGTATGAAAAATCACGAAAAAAAACATATTTCTAGTTGATATTCATACAAAAACTATGAAAATGAAGTATATTCATATTCGGGAGTATATAAAATGTTCAAATTATGAAATAAAAGGCAAATAGTTGTAAATGCATATCCAAGACAGGTGGAAGAAGAAGGTGGAATTTCGAAATTTTTCCTAAAATATCTGTTCATATTTTCATTATAAAATCAGTGGTTTTAGCCAAAAATACGTAGGTAACAAAAAAAATTCATAAGAAAATAAAGCATGGAGTGCAGAATTACTATAGGACTTTCCTGCACAGTGTAATTTACACTGTATTTGGGTATTCTTCTGATTGATTGATCACCCTGTAACTTACTCGTTATTGACTACATCTAGGAGGTCTGGTTTTAGTTTCGTTGTTATAATGAACGTGTTCCTTTGCCAGTGACTGCTAAGAAAACGGATATTTCATTAGTCATAGATAAAATACGTGTTCGAGTTTCAATTGGTTAGGCAGGTGACGTAACTAATAATAATTCATTAAGGTGATGAATCGAAAGCCAGGCATCAGTCTTACAATAAATTTCATCGCATACGGTCGATTCAAGTGGGTATAGTAAAAAAACAATTGGCAAAATAAAATTCCTCGTTCGGTTCAGTGATAATACATTTGTGAGTGTGTGTGTCTGTGTGTGGTGCGAGGTTTAAGTGTCTTGCTGTGTTAATTTTCTTATTTTTGGAAAGTGGACTATTTTCTTGAAATTTTTCGCTCTCTTAGTCTATTATTTTGGTCTTCGGAGCACATGTTGGTGCTCTAATTGGAGAATACCAAAAATATCCCTGTTTGTTTGCAATTTCGTTTGCAATCAAACACCCAGAAACGCTCGAGTGTAGACGCTTTGACATACTTTGACAAAGATGAAATGTGTATTGAGTACCTACTTTATTCCTGGTGAAATACATTCTCGCATATTTGTATCTTTTTCAGTTTATTTTGTCCAGAACAAAGGTGAACTGATCATTATTTATCCTTATGAAATTTGTAGATACCCATATGATACAGGGTTTCCAGAAAGTTGTTTATTCTGTCCATATTCAGAACTCCTAGCCCACAGGAGTTTTCTTTGGAGCGATTCATGAGACAATTTTTTTATATTTTTCAATCACGATTTTTTTAAACAAATATGTTGAGCATAGCACCCACTTTTGCTGAACTGCAGACAGATATTTTAAAAGAAACTAGGTATTACTTATACCATTTTCGAATTTTGAAAATCTTCTTCCAAAAATATATTTTGAGGTTACTATAGGAACTATAAGTACACGCACAACCTGCATGAGCATCTGCATATTATATTATTTCATAACATGCGCATGCCCCTTGTCACAATATCTTACCTAGGTGATCTTATGTCGTGTCACATAGCACAGAATGTTCCCACAGAAAATGATTCAGATTATTCTGAATGTTTCATTGTGTTCAATAAAGAAACATTTTATGAGTGAAAAACTGGCACTTGTCATACGGACTTAACGGTTGTTTCTAGGTCTAGCGGAAAAAATAATCGAAAATAGTGTATAGAGACGTTTTCCTTATGAACCAATGAACTCTATATAAACACCTGGAAAGAAGACGGCCGTTCTCTCGAATAGCACAAAGTGTGTCAGGGGCAGCTGCAACAAAGATAGCTTGTTTTACGGTAACCTGTCTCTTTCCTACTCGTGTTGTTCAATGGTGGATTGGTGTTTACGTTTTCTTTTATCTAATAATTGAAGTACTTTAATTTTTTGTTCTCTAAACAGACAAGAAAGTGAAGACATAAGTTCATTGTCATTGGTTATTTTGGTTATGTGAAATATCTATTCATTTGGCGTGTTTTGTTTTATCAAAAGGACTGAATTTGTTGGTGTGAACTGATTGTTGAGAAGTTTTGTGATTTCATATTGATAAATAATGGTGATTTATTGCGCGGCCTTGGGATGTCAGAACAAGCAAGACAAAAAGAAATTGTCATTCCATGGGTAAGTTGAATATTGTTCAGATTTTTGGAAAATATAGTTCTTGAAATGATCATCAGTTAGGTATAAAATGTTACCAGTCTCAAAATATGTTCAAAAACTACACCTATATTATTTGTTAAAGTTAGGTACTTCCATGACTTTTCAATAAAAATATTAAGTAATATTATTTTGGTGCAGTTTTCCATTCAAACGACCAGACATCTACCCCTACCCCTTTGTGGAGAGCATCTGCTGCCAACTGATAATTAACCTAAGACATACCAGGTACTCCTAGGTTATTGAAACCAGGTGCTGTACCCAGTATATTTTCATTTCCAAAGCATTTGTTACCAAAAAGGGCTGATTCTCGCAGGAAAATATAAGAAATCTAGGAAACTAAGAAAACTCCTAGGTACCTCGTTGATTAATAATGAAAAATGTGTGCATACTTCTTCCAAATTAAAAACTTGCTAGTAATATATTTTCAGGATGCATCTGTGAACGTTCATAACTTGGGTCCTAAGGAAGATGTTTGTCATATTATGGACTTTGATTTGCCTACGACTTCCAGCTCCAAAGTTTCGAAGTTCATCAATAAAAAAACCCAAACTGTTCCATTCGAGAAGGATATTGTATTGAGAATTGTACTTCTCCAATTTCTAATATATGTTTGTAGGCACTGACCTAATGGAAAAATAGGTAACTATGGAAATTATGCTCAAAATGGACCTTTGGTACAATTCAAGAACCTCTCTTCAAATTTTTACTATCTTTTTCTTCTGATATTGCTGAGACATTGTGCTTTTCTCACCCTGTATAATATATTGTGACATTTGAATAAAAATATATAATTTCCATTTTTTATTCATTTGACTTCCTAATCCTGTAAGAATAAAAATTAAATTTCATGTTAAAGTCGATAAAAATTCAATAATAGTATTTTAATGATATTTGATTGCAACATTATCCTTTTTTCTAGATGAATATTCATATTTAATCACGTTAAATACTAAATAAAAGCAGAAAACGAGAAAATATTTCAAATAATTTGAGCGCTTCCCATTAGCCAACATAAGATAGAGAGAGATAGGTATCCGTAAACACTGCGGGTTGCCTGAACAATATTTTCGCCTCACTCGTCGTTCACAGATGGCCCCTTCCAGGTGTTTATATAGATTTTGTTGTTATCAACAGGTTCCTAGAGTGCGGGCGATAAGCACGAACGCCGGCAACGTCGTACGCACCCTGTTGTGCACATGCGTGGACCACTACGCCTCCTCGTACGGGGACAGGGGGTGGGGGTGCGGCTACAGGAATGCGCAGATGCTCATCTCCAGCCTGTTGACGCATACGGGGTACAACGAGAAGTTGTACAGGATGTGGCAGAACCAGAAGCCGCCTAGGAGTTCGGTGCCGAGCATATCGAGGATACAGGGTGTTATCGAGCAGGCGTGGGCGCAGGGCTTCGATATACAGGTGGGTGCGTCGTTGAATTCGATCGTCAACTACTAATCGTACGTCTCATAGACGGCACTGCATCAAACGATTTGTTTTTGATCGAAATTTTGATTGTTGTCTCCTAGACGCATTTTCATTTTTAACACGCTTATATCAGCTGGGTATGTACAGGGTGTCCAACTTGAATAAACCCCCCTCCTTTCCTTTATCCGCATAATTCTAAATATATTTTAGTCGTCCAAAAACTTTTCTGGAATAATTTTTGACTATTATTTTGAATATGTGCTTACTTTTTCTTTATATCAACAAATTACAGAGTGACTCAGAAATTTTTTGTTCTTCAAATGAAATGATCCAAATTTTTTCCATAATTCGATAGAGCCCGTCCATCTCAATTCAAAATCCTGTCTGTAGGTTAATCGAGGATGTGGGACATTCGTTATTCAAGATTTTTTGGGATTTTCTTTCCTTGTTTCTATAAAATAAAAAATAAAATATGAATACTATTTCAATATACGTTTTTGAATGGTCAAAATATGTTGAGAATTACGAGGATAAAGGGGAGAGACACATTTAGGTGGGACACCCTGTATGTTTGTTTGGTTGCAACGGATTGGGAACGTGATGTTGACCCACTTTGAAACGTCCGATTGATTTGAAATTCGGCAGGTACATAGTCCTGGTGACAATGCATCATGATATTTTATTAGGCAAAAAACAAAATGGCGGACTAGTTTTTTAATTATAATTCGATTCTATGCAAAATTGGTATCCATGGGTCTTCGGGATCGCAGATTATGATTCTTTCGTCAAAACTGAAAAACTCAAGATGGCGGATCAAATATGGCGGACGAGTTTTGTAATTATGATCCGATTCTATTCAGGATTGATATCTGGGGGTTTTCGGGGTCAGATCTCATGATCCTTTCGTCAAAATTTGGAAATTCAAGATGGCGGATCCAATATGACAGACGAGTTTTGTAATTATGATCAGATTCTATTCGAAACTGGTATCTGCGTGGTGGTTTTAAGGGTCGGAGATTATGATTCAGTCGTCAATTCCAAAAAATTCGAGATGGCGGATCCAATATGACGAATTACTTTTGTAATTGTTATCCGACATTTTTCAAAATTGATATCTAAGGATTTTTGGGGTCGAAAATTTTGATTCTTTCGTTAAAATTGGGAAAACCAAGATGGAGCATCCAATATAGCGGACGAGTTTTGTAATAATAATCCGATTCTATTCGAAACTGGTATCTGCATAGGGATTTTAAGGGCCGGAGGTTATGATCCATTATAATATGACGAATGGCTTTTGTAATTATCATCCTATCCTTTTCAAAATTGATATCTGAGTGTTTTTGGAGTCGGAAATTATGATACTTTCGTCAAAACTGGGTAGGTACTCACAAAAAACATGAAAAAACTAAAAACACGCTTTTGTAGTTAGCCGAACTGAAGAATAGAAAGTGAATAGTAGTTTAAAAAAGTGAAGAAACACGCCTTTATAGATAGCCATACTAAAAAGAAGTAGAAAATAAAATAATGAAAGTGTGTTGATAAATATACACAACATAGAAAATATTAGTACCTAATCAGTATATTCTATATGTTGTGTATTTACCAACACAATTATCATTTTATCCTAGTTCTATTTAGTTTAGCTATCTATGAAAGCGTGTTTCTGTTTCTTCAGTTTTTTGAACTACTATATATAATAGTTATGTTTCTGCTGTTTCAGTTCAACTTTCACTATATCCAACATAAGAATAAACTCATCGACAATTTTCCATTATATCGATTTTTTCATCAGATAAATAGATCATGTCAAAATGCTGAATATTTGATATTCCTCTAAGAAATGTTGATCTTTACTTAAATTTATATTTTTATCTTGTACTACATTTTCGGTTCTACATAATATGTGAATAGATCACGTGAAAAAACGAGAATTAGAACTAATATGTAGGTACACTAATATTGTTGAGGCCAACCTCAAGTTTCCATAACTTTTGAACATCTGGCAACCCCGCATTCATTACTTAGCGGTGGGTTCGAGTCGACGAGCAGTCGACGCAACACTTCGCAATAAACAATGAAGAAGTCGCACACTATTATTGTTTTTTTCTACTCACATAACTAAAATGGAATTTAGCGTACGGATATGTACCACGATAAATGATCGATTAATCACGGATTGTCGATCTGTGATTTATTCGAAATATTAAACACGTCACCATGGCAACACGATTTCTTAAACACATTACCATGGCAACACAGTTTATTAAACACAGCTTCAGTAATTTGAGACATGTCTGGCATGTCAATTGTATTAAGTGTCAACTGTTATTTTCAAATTTTGTATCAGAATTATTCAAAAAATATTCGTTTGTACCAGAGTTCTTCATTAAAAATATATGCGGAATGTAGACGAAAGTGAAATCGAAGAGAATGTTCTGGTACTTGCATATCTCCAAGAAGTAGAAAAATGAAGCATCCATCTCTGAGAACAATTTATTCATTCTGCGCTAAGCATGACAATAAACGTGAAACAAAGGTTAGTAAGCAATGGACTGGACACATCTACAACCAATATCACCTATACGTGTCTCGCTGGTTGCATGCAGTTGCATGTATTATGTACTCAATTCCCATTCCTTTCGAATTATTTTGTAGGTTAGCAGGAATAGCAGGTATGTTAATGTAATTTTTTGGAGTTCGTAGAAAAAGCATAGTATGTAACGAGTTCATAAACTCTTCTAGACACTCGTTTATTAAACACTCGCTCCGCTCTGCTCCGCTCGTGCTTAAAATACTCGTTACTAAAAGGACGTTTATAACACTTGTTACATAATATACTATTAATCGGCTCGCATTTAAATTCTTTCATTATTCCATGTACTATGTTCTGAAGCAGTTTTCAGTTATTATAGAGGCATAACCAAGCACACTGACTAGTGAATCATATCTCAACCTAGACATTTTTTATGGTGTTATTCAACTTGAAGGAGAGAAGAACTCCCTTCTATTCACCAATATTTAGCCGTCTGTAAGACGTATGGTTAGCGACAACGTTACAGTTTTGGTAGTTAGTAGTGTTTTTCTTCTTCTTTGCTCCAGGGTTCGGAACAGTTGGGCTGTAAATTGGTGAATACGCGCAAGTGGATAGGCGCTACCGAGGTGGTGACGTTGTTCTCTTTTTTGCATATCAAATGCCAATTGGTGGACTTCCATCAACCCACTGGAGCTGCCGGATCGCACCCGGAGCTGTTCAGCTGGGTGTTGAAGTATTTCGAGAATTCGGTGGGTGGAGAGTTCACACCGCCTCTGTATTTGCAACATCAAGGTCAGTAATTTGATCACCAAAAATTCTCAGTTACCTTCTATAATCATCAATAATTTTCAGCATTTCTTAATATTGTCACACCTGTGAATAGTGTTCGGTCTAGGGCGTAGCTTTCAGGGGTAGTTTTAGGCATTCATGACTTGAAAATAACGAGGCAATTACGTAGAAATGTAAAACAGTTTATTTGAGTCAAATGAAGCAAAGTGGAAAACACTAGAATGAATAGTTCATTTGAATTGGATGAACCAAAAAGAAAATACTAAAATGACCACAAAACCTGAACAACATATGAAATAAATCCTATCTGACACAAGGGTTACTCACCAGGGTAGAAATGTGTCAAACCACGACCTCATCGTTGGGCTCGGCAAGTACGACTGTCCCTCTGATTGATTTCCCTACTCCTCAGGTTGAATATAATTATTGATGATCAATGCAGTATCAGCAAGCAAGTACAATGCCCGCAGGGAATGAACTCGCCTAGCTGAGACTGCATATCGGAAATGGAAGCGAAATATGAATTTAACAAATAATATCTATACTGTTGAATAAAATGTTTTTAGGAATTGATTTTATATTTGGTTCGTGAAATCAATCAGATTATGGGATTTTTCCTCAAGCTTGACAATATAATCTCTTTTTCTACGCACCAGATCGGAATTACTCTTCAAAACAACATGTGTAAATGACCATATAACATTTAAATTCTCAATATATAGCACATCTTTATCAAACTAATAGTTTCTCTTTATTTTTCAATAGATTATAATCAACTAAGAACATATTAATATTTTTTACATAGTTTTTGTATGGGTACAGATGGTTTTAGCATGCCTATCTGTGTACACTACCAGAAACGCCCCATTTGACGATCAAACAGAGGCATATTATTAGGTATTAGTCCGCCAAAGGCTGAATCACCTAGAACAGGTCTATCTCACACCTGCTGAGGTAGAAAATTCAACTGGAAATCTAGGGTTTGAGAGCCAAAATTAGATAAGGGTAATCACAACGTTACAATTTGATGTAAGTTCTGAAGAAACTTTTACAATAAAAAGAGCATATAACGTGAAATATCTGGGCATAATAGTTGTTTGTCATCTTCGGTGGGATAAACATCTGGTGCAAGTCTGCAAATTTCTTCGATCGTTTCTTTATAAGTTTGAACACTTTCAATAAATACTGGATTTCTAATATCTCAAAACTATTTATAAAGCATTAGTGGAAACACGACTCACCTACGGTATTCTAGCTTGGGGGTAGCAACGGGGCACAACCTCGAAGTTATTCAAAAAAGATTCTTGAAAATTATATCACCTAATCTGACCTAATATTTACAGAAACGGAAGTCCTTGATTTACGTCAGCACTATTACTATAAAATTGTGATAAGACAATTCAAAAACAGATATAATCTACCACTCATCAGCCATAACTACCAAACTCGTAGTTGATTTTATAACTTACTCCCGACTAGAATAAAAGAAGTCTCCAACACATATTCCTTCAAAAAAATATCCAAATATTATCTTCTTTCTTTAGAGTGTATGGTTAATCATTCATTTTTTAAATATTAGAATATTTCATTATATTTCTAGACTTATTTATTATCATTATTATTATTATTGTTCATTACCTATGTTGTTATATTTATGTATCAAATTCATATGTATGTCTTATTTAGCCTTGTTCATTATATTCACTTATTATTTCAACGAATTTCATACCATAAATTTATTTATCTTTCTCACATGGATTTTAAAGTGCATTGTACTAATGGATGTCAGATGTGAAGTTGTGAAACACTCAGTATATTGAACAACAATACTCTGTGTCTCATACTTCGGCAATAAATATTCGAAATCAGTTGATAAGAATCATCGATATCAGGAAACAAGTTTGAATTGAAAATTGTCATCCTGTATTTCAATCAGAGGCGAATTTCCGAAAACGTCTCGAGTTAATAGTCTAATATAAATAATGGATATCGAAAAGGACGTTTCTGAATATACTGAATCGAATGAGCCATGGTTTTAGTCACCATTTATGATATGTTTTACTGAAATGAGATTTTGTCCTATTTTCTTATCATCCTGTGTATTTCACAATAGTGCTTCTTTCGTCTTTCATTGTCCTCTACAAAACATGAGAAGAGTTCTTCCCAATAGTCAGCTCAAGTGGAGTTCTAGAGAAAAAATTCAAGAAATGTAAGACTTTCGAAAAAAAAATCGAATGTTTGTTCCAATGGCCAATTGAGGAGAAATCACGAAAACGACCCGAGATGAGGTCCTCATAATTTGACTGACTTGATCAGAAAATTTTTTTCCGAGTTCTGGCAGCATTGGGAATGTAGACCATAATGTAATGGTTCCACTTTACACCCTGTGTAAGTTTTGTTCTGCAGACTTTTCCAGAGTGTTCTAGCTCTCTTTGAAGCCGTTGAAATACACATCTGATATCGAAAACCGCATGAAGATCTGTCAATTTTTTCAAAAAATACAGGTCTTCGAAATTGAGTCAAAATATGAGTGGTCCATTTAGTGTGTTGAGAACTGTACATAAAAATGACAGAAATTACATAAAAATGACAGAAAATACATAAAAATGACAGAAATTACATAAAAATGACAGAAATCACATTGAAATGACATAAATTACATAAAAATGAAAAAAAAAGAATAAAAATTTGAAAAAAATGTTCTACAGGGTGGCGCAAAAGAAACGAAGGGGTTTGAATAGTGAATAACTTCTTTATTTCAGTGTCTATTCAATCAATTTTTTTTTCAAATATACAACATTAATGGGAAATTGATTTGATTTGTGCATTACTATAAAAAATTCTTTGATATAACTGTACTACATGAATCGACATATTTGCTTATTTGTATGTTCACTAAAAGTGACTATAAGTTCATTGTATGTAATGTATATTTCAAACCATCTTTAGAAATAGGAAATATTCTTGATTGCTTTCAAATTCTTTTATCCGATTTGTTAGAAAGATTCACTGATCTGCTAATAGTAATTGCAGGTGACTTCAACAGCAGAATTGCTTCTGAGGGTATTATACCTCATGAAATGATTGAAGGCACTAATTTATCTGGTGATCGCATAAGCTCAGACAGAACAATAAATACTAGAGGTAGGCAGATCATAGAATTTATGGATAATAATTCATTTTGTGTACTGAATGGTAGAACTCCGTCGGATACTCCTGGTCAATTTACTTATGTTAGTAAACAGGGTAAGAGTGTGGTGGATTTGGCATGGGTGAACAGTATATGTATTTCGGACGTAAATAATTTTTACGTTGGCGAAGATGACTTTCTCTCTGACCACTTTCCAATAAATTTGACTCTCAACTTTAATAGTCGACCGGAAAATATGCGCTCTGATCTCCCGAATAATGATGATTTTCGTACTGTACTCAATTGGAGAAATGAGTCATGTTTGGATTATAAACTTAGAATGAAGCGGTCAAACAGAGCCCATTATATAGCTAATTCTGACGAATCGTTTGAGAATCTTGGTGCTGCCATACATGAGGTCGCCACCGATTTAGGTCTTGCTTGCAATAAAAAAACTTTCAGGAATAACAAATTGAAAAATTCAAATAAACCGTGGTTTGATGATAACTGCTTCACTGCTAAAAAAACAATGCAAATCGCATTAAAACAATGTAAGAAACACGGTTTTCCAGAAGACTTGAGAATAAATTACATACGTTCAAAATGCGAGTACAAGAAACTGATGAAAATAAAGAGAAATGAATTTGAGTCTGAAATAATTACAAAGCTGACAAACCTGAGGAACCAAAAAGAATTCTGGTTAACTATAAAGCAGTTTCGAAACCACTTTGTACGTGAAACTTTATCCGTTGAAGTATGGGAAAACTTTTACCAAAATATCTACCCTCCTAGAAACATATCTCTATTGAACTTTCAAGACGCTTGTCATCCCTATTTAGATTCACCATTCTCTACAGACGAAGTGTATTCTGTACTCGGCAGATGTAAAAATAATAAATCTCCAGGCCTAGATGGTATTCCATTTGAGTTTTATCGGAATCTACCACATAATTGGGTACTTTACTTAACAGTCTTAGTTAACAAAATTTTTGATTCATCTGTTGTGCCCAAAACCTGGCATAATATTTTGATAACTATGTTGCACAAAGGTGGCTCAACAAAAAGTCCTGAAAACTACAGAGGCTTGGCCCTAGTGAACTGTTGTCTCAAAATATTCACAACCCTTATTCTCAATAGACTCAATTTGTGGATCGATGATTCCAAAGCTCTACCTGAATGCCAATCTGGGTTTCGCCCAGGTCGAGGATGTGTAGACAATATTTACACCCTAAGCTCTGTCATTAATTTCCATATCAGACATAGAAAACGGAAGTTATTCGCTATTTTCGTTGATTTTAAAAGAGCGTTTGACTCTGTCAATCATTACCTACTCTGGAACAAATTATTTAATGCTGGAATATCAGCTAAAATTCTTCGGGTAGTACAACTATTGTATTCCAAAGCAAACTTCCAAATAAAAGGTTCTGATGGGTTATCTAAACTATTCGAGTTGACCACTGGTGTTCTGCAAGGCGAACCTCTGAGCCCTCTTTTATTTGCGCTCTTCATAGCTGATTTAGAAACATTCTTTTATGATAGAGGGTCCCAAGGTGTAAACATTGACGGTCAAAATGATGTATTAGCACTGCTGTATGCAGATGACTTAGTAATTCTTGCCCATTCAGAGATTGATGTGACGAAAAAATTAAAAATATTAGAATCATACACTGCTTGTAACGAACTGACTGTAAATCTACAGAAAACTAAAATTATGCAATTCTCTCGAGGCGGATTTCGTAAACCTAATTATGTTTTTCATTTCAATGGACACCCAATAGAGGTGACGAACAAGTATGTTTACTTAGGAGTAACTTTCACCTCTTCAGGCCTATTTAATGAAATGTCATCAGTTGCCAGAGTTAAAGGAAAACAGGCTGTTGGTTCGCTACTGCCCATTCTAGCTAAATCTAAAATTGACACCTGGTATCCACGAATGAAATTATTCGAGTCATTAGCCATCAGTGTTATGTTCAATTCTGTTTCAGTGTGGGGTATTAGATACATGGAGGTATTAGAAAGAGTACATCTTAGTTTCCTTAAAAGAATTTTATTGGTGCCCATCAACACACCTGATGCTATAGTCCGTTTGGAAACTGGAAGAGTTTAAGTTATCATATAACATATACAAAATCACACTAAACTGGTTACATAAGATTTTTACAATGGAAGATAACCGTTATCCAAGACTGTGTTTTCAACATCAAGTAAGATTAATAAGCGCTACGGAATCAAAATATAATTGGGCACTTCAAATTAAACAACTTTTTACTGATAGCGGATCTCAAGAATTTTGGAATACTTTGAATGCTCAAACTTTGATTGCGAATAAGAAAAAAATACTGGACAAATATTACAACTATTTGTTTGACAGCGATGTTAACATAGCATCTCGTTACCCCTTCATGAACATATACAATGCTTTGGGCACTTCAAAGGAACCTAGTACATATTTATTGTTGAAGTTACCCATACAGATTACCCGCACTCTTGCACAATTGCGCATGTCCAATCATTTTAGGATCAAGTTCACATTTAACGGAATTGTATATTCGATCGACCCAGATCTAATATGTTCTGTTTGCAACAGAAACGAAAAAGAAACCTTATTCCACATTATTTTTGAATGCCCGATTTATACTGTAATGAAACATAAACAGTGCCTTCAGAATGTGGAAGCACTCATCAACGCATTAGAAAATCCAACAATTTCTGTAGCCAAAGAAATTTCTGAGTATATATGGAATATTCTCAGGTTACGTTCATTCATAATGAGTGAATGTTATTAAGTAGGTATATTGAATTGATGATGTTTATTGTCTCGTCATGAATGAATAATCCACTGCGTTGGCAAATTTTCATTCAATCTTCATTGTTTATATAGTATTTATTGTCACTCTAATTTTGATGTTATTTTTCAAACACCATACAACTCTTGCTGTAAACTTGTTTTAGAAGCAATAAAACTATTATTATTATTATTGATTTGATTTAAATGTGGAAAATAACGTCGCGTAGGTGGTGTCCATTTTCAGCTTCGCGAAGTTGCGCCCTTATGAAGACTTTCTCCATGACTTTGCGCATTTTTTTTGGCGTAATTTCACAAATTTCTTCTCAAATATTATTCTCCACTTGGAGTATGGTCTCTGGTTCATTCTCGTATACACGTTCCTTCAAATATCCCCAAAGGAAGAAATCGGGAGCGGTTAAATCCGGGGAAATCCTTTCGGATGATATTCCACACCAGACTGTACACTTTTGAGGTTGCAATTGCCTTTGATGGATTTCCCTAGGATTTCCCTAGGATTTCCTTTTGGCCATATTCGGCATTTTTGCTTTTTGACTCATTATCAGATTGTGCACGAAATCATGATTTTCTTCCGCTATTTGCTGGAAAAAACTGCAAAATCGAGCCGCTGCTGATAATCGGTGGGTTTCAGCTCTTGAACAAGCTGCACTTTATATGGAAACATCTTCAATTTGGCCAAAATCCGTTGAATCGATCTCCGCGACAACCGAACTTGCGTTGAATGTCTCCTTGTTGAAGTTGTTGGATGTTTGTGCACACTCTCCTGCACGGGTTGAAAATTTTCTTCGGTACACGCCGTTTTTGGTCTTCCAGTCAGAGACAGCACCTTGTTGCCTAAAACGTGCAATTGGACGATTTATCGTCGCTTCTGATGGACCATTTCTATCATGGAAAAAACGGCGATAGGCGCGTTGAGTCAGAATAATTGACCGTTGGTTTTCAAAACGAAATTCAATGATTTTCGTTCGTTGCTCAGTCGTGTAATTTTCCATTTCGAATTTCCCAAGTCTTGTTAACAAAAATCAAGAATCTGAAAAACAATAAAATTGAATCAAAAAAAGTTATAGGCCTTTCGAACCCCTTCGTTTCTTTTGCGTCACCCTGTATACTGTTTTTAGGCCACAGTCGCACCATCATGGGCGTCGAAGTGCACCGGGACGGCAGCACGACGCTGCTGGTGCTCGACCCGAGCCACTCGCCCCGCCAGATGGCGCTGCTGGGAGACGCTCAGGGCGCCGCAGTGGCGCTCAGGCTGCTCAGGAAGAGCGAGGCGGCCATGAAGGCGAGGCAGTACCAGATCATGGCGGCCGTGGGGACGGTCGACAGCGATTATCAGTATCAGGTAGGCGGGGGCCAGTCGAGAAACAGTCTGCAAAGTCACTCGAGACAACGAAAACATATTTTTCTGCAACCGACACAAAAGTCGTCCATTTTGATACCAAAATTAGCTCTTAAATTGACGTTTCTATTACTAACACAAAAATAGGTATGTTGCTAGGCAACATATTTAGTTCCTAGGAGCTAAAGTTGGATTTTAGTTCTTAGGAGCTAAAATTGAACTTTAGTTCCTAGGAGCTAAAAAGGATGTACTGGACGTCATCAAGAATAAACAACATTGTGACGGTTGGTTATTTGGGTTGAGACGCATACCTGATTTGTTTCCGATTTCGGCAGATTTGGCATTTCATACCCATGCTGGAGATATAAATAAACCTTATTATAATTAAGTATAGGAATTATGAACATCTCAGTTAAGATGTTTGTTTTGATCAGGGTCCAGGAAAGCCTTCAAGATTCACATACTTGCTTGATTTGTACTTCATTCGTTATTCTCGGGATGGATAACTTGTTTTTGAATAATCACGGCCAGCAATAGTTTTATGTCTCAAACAACGATATTGTTTATCTACATTTGATTATCAAGCCAAACACAGTGGAGTATGGAGAGAAATAAATGATCGCTATTATTATTGTTGATATGCTCACTAAGCTAACATTTTCCACGTCTTGTTCCTATAACTGGCACTGGCGCGGTATTTGCCATTAGAACACCTAGTTCATACACAAATATGTCATTCTGTGGTTGTATTTATATTGGAACTACAATTCGAACATCCTCTGAAATTGAATAAACCTGATCTGTAAATGCAGGTAGAATAATCTCACCACAAGGATTTTTTGTTACATTACATACATATAGCACGGCATTGGTGGTTACTTTACACATTTATTTGAGTTAATTATTTCGGTTGCAGAAAAAATTGCATGTTTCATTCTGATCAAAAGTGACTTTGTCAAACAAAGTGTCACTTTTGATTCAAGTAAAACAATCTTCTATTTCCCACAACTGTAAAAAAAATCCACTTTTTTAACACTCTGACATCCTGAGTAGATGCGTTTTCATTCGTTCATTGTTCGAACGCGTCAGGACACGCGAAGTTTTCAGAGTAGGGAGCATCTGAGTGATCAGCATATTGCTGCTCAGACAATGTAAAGTCGTACTGGAGTACAGAAGAGCATAAAAGGATGTCAGCTAAAATCGACCGACGACGGCTGACAAGGCAATTTTTTTCAATGTATATAAGAAAAAGTGCATGATATACTCCTATTAGTTATCAATTTATCGATAAACTCACAGGGGTTGAAACATTTGCTATAACAGCAAAAGGATAAAACACCAAAAGCTAGAAAAATTGTTTAATGTGTTACAGAAAAAAATTGTTGATATGCTCATAGCCTAACATTTTCCACTTCTTTCTCCTCTTCCTGGCACTGGCGCGGTATTTGCTAAATCGATTCTATAGAATACACAAATTGGTCACTTTGTGGTTGTATTTATATTGAAACTACAATTCGACTATCCTTGAAAATTGAGTAAATCTGATCTGTAAATGCAGAGAATTGTAAAAACTTCACAAACGATCAATTTCTTATTGTTTGTGAAGTTTTTACATTTGCCATGGATTTCCATCAAGAAACGGCCGAGTCATTTAAAAAAATACACGGATTATTTGTTCCATTGCGCACATATAGCACGACATCCACGTTCCGGTTATAGTATTGAATTCGTGCCTGTAGTATCTGATGACATGATGCATGTCAACAAAAATTGTAACAAAGTAAAAAGTAGTCTGAGGTCTTGCTTCTATCTACTTACCCATTTTATTATAAGAAAGATATTATAATAATCTGTCAAGTAAGTCACATTGGTGGTTACTTCACATATTCATTTTAGTTAATTATTCGGTTGCAGAAAAGAATAGTATGTTTCATTCGGATCAAAAGTGACTTTGTTTGACTTGCAAAGGACCTTGCACATTTAGTACGGAAAATGGCTTTCGGCTAAATCTTCTGAAAACTTGATATGTTTCAGATATTAGCGTCCTTATTGCACATTCAAATTCACAGATCGATCCTATGATCAGTTTTCGAGCTACAGGGTGTCAATCATTTGATTTTGGCTGTTTAGAATATTTTGCTTCGATTGGAATTATGTGCTCTTAGTCGTGGTAAATCTTCAGTAGAAATAATTGCTTCACGTCTATTTTCTATTTCGTGAATCCCTCTATTCGAATAGATAATAATATCACATACAGGGTATTGCATTCCGTCATGACAAGGTAATATTCGTGGGGATAGACAAATATTGAAAAAATCAGAATTTTGATTTTTACTCAATCACTGAAAACTTGAAAACAAACGGCTAGAATCGGCTAATTATTTGACACACTATGAATCTTGATCATCAACATGAGGATTCATATGATTTCCTCTGATACAATGTCCGGTTTGCCATATATAGGGTGATGACAATTTGAAACCTCAGAATTGATGTTACTCGTGTACAATATTAGATACATATCACGAATGGTTCATAATTGTTTATATAATATATCAGGGGGTTTTGGTGGGGGTAGTTCATGAGACATTTAATTTTCCACTTCATATATTATAACATATAAACAGTTATGAAACATTCGTGATATTTATATCATTTTGTACATGATTTACATCAATTCTAAGCTCTCAAATTGTCATCACCCTATAATATATATGGCAAACCGGCCATTTTATCAGAGGAAATCATATGAATCCTCATGTTGATGATCAAGATTCATAGTGTGTCAAATAATTGGCCGATTCCAGCCGTTTGTTTTCAAGTTTTCAGTGATGGAGTTGAAATCGAAATTTTGAAATTTTCAATATTTGTCTATTTCCATGAATATTACGTTGTCATGATGGAATGCAATACCTTGTATGTGATATTATTATCTATTCGAATAGAGGGATTCATTTGAATTGGAAATTAGACGTGTAGCGTTTATTTCTACTAAAGATTTATCACGACTTAGAGCACATAATTCAAATCGATGCAAACTATTCTAAAAACAGCCAAAATCAAATGATTGACACCCTGTAGCTCGAAAACTGGTCATCGGATCGATCTGTAAATTGGACTGTGTAATAAGGACGCTAATATCTGAAACATATCAAATTTTCAGAAAAATTGGCCTTTGGCCTAATAAAACAATCTACTATTGCCTGACCTGTAATTACTGTTTTTTGCAGCAAAGTAAAATTCTTCGTGGCCTTCGAATACCCCAAGACCGGTGAAAGTGGCTTCGGCAGGCTCATAGGAAATTTAAATCTTTACAAATTCCATTCTTCACACGATTATTGTTATTCAACACCTTTGCTGTTCATACATTTTTTCGATCATCAATACGATATTGTTTTTAGAATATTCGATAGTTATTCCAGTGTTTCCGCTTTACAGTATCTGGTGTCCTAGTCATTCTGAGTGGAAACTTAGTAGGGTAGGTATTAGTTATTTATGAATCAAGGGCGTCAAATAGGCTGGATGCGAATCGTTTCAGCCACAGTGTCCGAATATACCCGAACGATGCGCTGTTGCCAGAAACCGACTCTCCCAATTTAACAGAAATACACAATGTGATTTCGTTCCAGCCACATTTCGTCTCAGCCACTTTTCGTGTCCATTTCGTTTCAGCCAGATTTCGTCTTGGCCACATCTCATCTCAGCCACATTTCGTTTCAGTCACATTTCGTGTCCATTCCGTCTTAGCCATATTTTCTTGCGATTTATCCATATTTAGGCTACGTTCAGCGGCAGGTCGGACCATGGTCAATTCATCTCAATTCGTTCAGACCGTTGTCAGACTGTGGATCAGACCGTGGTCCATGTAGTCTCATTTAAAATGAGGCCAAACATGGTCTAAATCGTTCAGTCGATTGTTTCCGTCAGAAAATGTCAGTTATATTTTTCATGAATTAATGACATTCGAATGCATTTGAATTTGAACGAATCTCTTCGCGGGTGAGATAGTATGATGGCCAACAAAATTAACAACAATTCAACAGATATTTTTCGTGAAGCAGATCCAATACCTTCACAGAATTCACCGATTGTACATTGCACCAAGATGTAAAACCTGTGATTAATGGATCTGAATGGAAATAAGAGTGGTCATTTCGGTACAAAACATGTCTTCAATCTGATCTGCACACTTTTCACTTGACACAAATAGCATTTCCAGCATATATGTCAGAATGTCTACCGAATTGATTTCAACAAGCACCATCGTTCAAAAACCAATCTAACCACTTAAATGTCGAAATAAAAATGAAATCGAATAGGGGTTCTCATGACAACTTTGACAAATACTATATACAAATACAAATGCATGGACCATGCATGGACCGATGACGTTCAGAACTCCTATGTTTGTTGTGGTCCGACTACGGTGGTCCAGATCTGCCAATCAACGTAGCCTTGGTGAAAAGAAGGAAGAATGTCATTCCAAATAATGGCGTGTGTAACGTCATTCAAAAGCAATCTGTTGACATTTGACATCTCGTATTTGGATTGATTATTGATCAAATTGCGGTCATCTGGTATGATTGTTCAGTAAATATGAAAAATCATATTTCGTGTTGAATTTTCCATATAAAAATGTGTCATTGAAGTACATCATGATTATATAAAGTGTCCAACGACAAAATAAGAAGAGCAAGTAGCTGTAAATGCATTCAAGACAAGAGGAAGAAGAAGGCGACAACTTTTTCTTGAAATATCTAGATAATTAATGGTTTGTTCACATTTTCATTATCAAATTCGTGTTTTTCAGACAGACAAAAATACGTAAGTACCAAAACAAATTACCAAAAAAAAGAACATTCGCATGATAATTGTAATTTTACCCTTATGTGGCTGAGACGAAATGTGGCTCATGGAATGCTTAATTTATTCGATTCTATTAAATTGGAAATTGGGATAGTATGTGGCAACAGCGCATCATTCGTCATTTTATTCGTCTATACGAATTATTGCATAGATTACGATCTTTGGTCAGTTTATGAACTATTGTGGTAATAACTTTGAGTTTCTCTCTCTTTGTAAAATATAAATGTCAGGATTGCTGATTATGAGTTACCTATATGCCGGGCAATAAGGTGGTACGCGGGCGCCACTTTACGTCCGCAAAACTGGATGGTAAAGTGTTTCTTTACACCTGGCCGTGCATACAATATTTTATGTTCATTGGAGAAGAATGTGCAAACATCGCCCCCCATCAACGGTATTTTCAGTAAGCCAGTGACCTCTATTTAGAACTAAGCTTTTTATTATCCTAACCCTCGAAGATTTTCGTATTCCTGGCAAGATTCACCTTTTCGACAATAACGTTTCAAGTAATGAAAACAGGGTGCGTAAAATGTTCAAATAGCTGGGATATATTGATGCTATTTGAATTTAAGTACCTAGGAAGTGGAAACTCATCAATGCTGTGTTGAGTCATTAGGGTTTGCACTTTATTGAAATGGTGGCATGTAAGATAAAAATAAAAATGTAGGAATTGCTTATTTATTTTTGCATTGTTTGTTAACTTCGCCATCTCTGAATAAATCACACCTAAATACAGAGAAGTGCAAAAAAAACGGCCAGGACTGTAACTTTTAATTGACGAATCACTTTTTCTTCTATCACTTCCGGTTTTACTGGAAACGACCCCAACTTTTGATGATTAAATGGGACACCCTGTGTTTTTTTTTTCATAATCGGTTAGGGATTGTCATAACAAATTCATCGATACCGAGTTTGATAGCAAATGATTACGCAGATATTCGCGTTCTAAGTTTCCATATATGATGTAGATAGATATATGTAGATTTCATAACAGACAAAATACTTGTGAAACAGTTAATATATGTGCCAGTGGTGATCAATTAACCAGCACACATGAGAATTTTAAATTTCTTGGTCTTTATATTGGTGAGCATCTAGATTGGAAAGAACAATGCAGACACATTGTTTCTAAACTTCACTCGATGACATATCTATTCAGAAATATAAGAAATATACTTAATAAAAGTCAATTAATCACACTCTATTATGCGTATGTTGATTCTCAATTGAGGTACGGAATATTATTGTGGGGAATCTCTACAAAGGTTTCCGATGTTTTTATAGCACAAAAAAAGATCATCTGTTGCATAGCACGAGTACCTTACTATCATTCATGCAAAAAATTATTTTCGGAGTTAGGTATTTTAACATTGCCATCTCTATACATTTTCGAGGCATGCTTATACGTCTTCCAAAATAAAAAAAAATTAAAACTCATTCACTCTTAATGATGGGATACACGATCACAATACAAGAAATAAAAAAGATGTACATTTTAATTCAGTGAAATTAATGTTAAGTTATCAATCTCCAAAATGTATGGGCCCTAGATTATTCAATAAGCTTCCATCCAACATCAAATCTAGTAAAAATAGTCATGTATTCAAAATATTATTGAAACAGTTTCTATTAGAAAAATGTTATTATTCGGTATTTGATTATCTCAATGAAAAGATCTGATTTTTATTTAACTCGAACCGCACCTGCATTCTTTTACTATTATTTTACTATATTTTACTACAAAATGTATATGAAGGAACCCTCTATTGTATATTGTATACCTCTATCGCATACCTCTATTGTATACCTTTATTGTATGTTAGTTCTAGTGTTTTATAGTATATATATATGTGACGACTTTCAAAGCAATTTACAATTGTCAATTAAGGAAGAATAAAGATGAACTGAACTATGAACTAAATATGCTCAATGAGTGTGACAGAGAAAGAAGTTTTGATATTGCGAAGTCACGCCCATTAAGCTTATGGAAACTTCGAACGCAAATATCTTTGTAACCGTTTGAAATAACCCTATCAAACCCAGTATCGTTGAGTTCGTCGTGATAATCCCTAATCGATTATGGAATACAATACAGGGTGTCCTATTCAAAAATCAAAAGCTGAAGTCGTTTCCGGTGAAACTGGAAGCGATAGAAGAAAAAGTGTTTCATCAATTGATGGGCAATTTGGTATACTTGCTACCTACCAATTTTCAAGACCCTATTTAGAATAATTCAAAAGTCACAATCCTGCCCGTTTTTTGGGCACTTCTCTGTATGTAGTTTGTCAAGTGAGAAACGAAAAATTATGAGTGATGAGTAGAACTAATCGATGTTTCTCGCAAAAATTATCCAGCTCAGAACGCACTATAATGTTCGAAGAACATCGTGCATACCTAGAAAGGATGAATGAAACTAACGAAATTAAATGGATGAATTCACATCTGACATGAGGATATTATGTAAGAGCAGGAAGGTATGCATCGATTTAGTTCTAGGTCTTAGATACTTGGCTTCTTACATAAAATATTTCCAAAGTCAATTGGGGCAGCACTAACAAAAAAACAAGCCGCTCGTTGTCGGTCCCATTGAAGTTCAAACAGTCAGGTTAGGTTCAATTATAAAAAAAAATAAGATGAAAACTTCAACCCAGAATTGTTTATTTCGACAAATTATCAAGTGAAACAAATGAGCTATTGAAATTTGTTCAGTGCTTTTGCCAGACAGACACATTTTGGATCAGTGAACACTTTGAACAACTAATATTATACCTCGTCTACTAAGTTTACATTTGAAACGACGATGTTCTAGTATTTTAGTTTTTTTGAAATATTTTTCCAGATACTGTATTGTGAAAGATTTGGTATAGATATTTTCGCCTGGAACAATTTTCTCGAAGAAATATGCAGTATTTCAAAAGTCTTTGACTGTAAATTAGCGCTAATTTACAGTTGCAACTGTAAATTAGGTATAGAAGACTTTTTCTTCAAAACACTCAATTTACAGTTGCAACTTTAAATTAGGCAGAGGAAACTTTTTTTTTTTTTTCAGAAAACCTAACTTACAGTTGCAACTGTAAATTGAGAAATATTTAAAAAAAAGTTTTTTTAGGATGGCAGTTCAGACGTTACCATGTATTCTGTCTTTCAGTTCATCACTTACTAGATTTTTTATATGTATTTATGATTTGCCGTTATACAGGATATGTTTTAACAGCTTCTACTGGATTCATCACTTCAAATATAAATGTTCTATGGTTTGTTCTGAACCTTCAGAAAATGGGGAAGTTTCCTATATTGAAGTTTTCATCTCACTGTGAAGTTTGTAAAAAAATAATATTTACGTATTTATAATTTTTTTCGTAAGATCAAATTTCACGTCAGAAAAAAATAAATAAAAGAGGAACTTGGC